GAATGCAGTTTTGCAGAGCGCAGTTTTTTGGTAGCATTCTGACGTTTTCTGAAAACCAGACTCTTGTTCTCATAAGGCCCCGGTCACTGTGTGAGCGATACTAACACGTCAACACAGGCCGACAAGGCTGTCAGTGTACACCATGCTTCCGACTCACCTGGAAGCCAACTGTCGGTATAAATCATCGTGGTATCCTGCTGTTTTTCTAGAAAACATCAGTAAGCATCCCAGCTCGCTATTACTACACCCCCCCCACCAACTGTAACCGGACAGGAAAGACCAAAGTGATGCTTTACAGGACTTGCTCTACAGATTTGAAGCAGTCCACCAAACCCGAAAGCAAACGCCCTCCACGGCCTTTTGTCATACGTGAGGGAGGAAACAAAGGGCTTAAATGTGCTAAAAGGTACTTAAAAGACGCTTTTTCCAATCATGAGTTCCTGATACTACAGGGAACCATCCTGCTGGATTCCCCCACTACACAAACCCTAAGAAGGTAAGTGAACATTTCTGTGAAAATGCTATTTCCCTAATACTAAGCTCCTTGTTGACTGTGAATTTTGATCTGCATTTATTAGATAAATATTTTTAGAGGAGAAAAATAGTTTAAAAAAAAAATACCCTAAGCAGTTTCTGGTTTAATTGTATCAAATCTTCAGTGTTCAACCTAAAAAAGAAGAAAATCTCCACAAAGTGAGGGTTAAAAGAAGAGAGTCTTTGCTCGGTGACTGCATGGGTGTTGCACCTCTAGAGTTCACTTCACAGAGTTGCAACGGTGCCTACTGTCCGCTGTTCTCCGGGTTTGCTGTGCTGGTTTCAGTGCCAACAGGCTGCACATTGTCTGCGAGGTTGTGCGCGTGCTCGAGGAACAAGTCTTTCAGTACGCTCAGCTCCTTGGTCAGGAGCTTAATTTTTGCCTCTAAACGTTCGTTTTCTTCTTTGAGCTGGTTGACCCTCTGCAGCGTGTCTTGTGCCTTCTGCTTGCTTTTTAACCGGCTCTTCTTCACTGCCATGTTGTTTCGCTCTCGTCGCTGACGATACTCATCACTGTTTCTATCCACGAAGGAATTCTTCTTTCCCTGCTTGCTCGGAGGCACGGCTTTGCCCCCGCCGCCAGGACTGACAGGCACCAGCTGGGGAACCTGCTGCAAACCGCTGGCGTGTGCTTGGGTGTGAATCACGCTTACTCCGTTCGCATCCGTCGCGGTGTTCTGCTGGGATGCCTTGCTCATTTGGACCGGCTCTGCTTGGACACAACAGGATTTACTAGAAGGCTGAAAACGGTGACGTTTCTAGGTGTTTTCAACAGGTCTTCACATGGATTAAGGGCAAGGTGAACCTAGTAGGGAGAAAAAAAGGCTATTAAAAGGCTGGGTTCAGCTACAGTCTCCTGCATCACTGGCTGTGGCATAAGGTACTGATGGTACATCTGGCAGGAGCACAACACAACTGTGCTGGAAGCGGACGAGCTGCCAACTACATTTCAGAAGCCTCTCGAACGTATTTGGATTGGAAGGGAACTGCTACTGGGTCATCTAGTCAAGCTGTTTGCACTGTTCACTGGCTTTACTCAGTTATTCCAAAGCCATCCCTGATGGATGGGTGTCTAGCCTAAGCCTCGAATATCTCCAGTTTCACAACCTCTGTCTTGGCAACAGGTTCCACTGTCTAACTTTTCCTCCAGTTATATAATTTTCAGACTGGACTTTTCTTTCTGCAGCTTAAACCTATTAACAGCCTGACTCTTGACCAGGAGTCCTTGATCCTTGTCCTCTTCAGACCATCCCCCTGGGTGTATGCACAGACAAATTCCTTCCTGGTCTCTTTTCTCTGGAGTGAGGGTGCTCAGGCTGTCTGCTTTTCCTCGACCATTCTACAGCATCACCTAGTGCTTTTACTTGCTCAAAGGGTGCTTCCTTGCTTCTGAAGGTGGTGTCCAAATTGCTGACAGGTTTAAAGTCTCGCTAGTACTGAGTGGAAAAGAATGATCCATGGAAAAAGGTAGTGTGTTGTGAAGGCTGTGACCGAGTGACATTGCAGGAACCCCTCCCCAAGCCTGTAAGGGTACTGTAACAAGCAGGCGGGACAGGAACGCGGGGTGATGGCAGGGAGAATCGCTGCATGGCAAAGACAGGACAGCAGCCAGCCACAGCAGCCACAGCTGACTCGTCCACAAAATACATTCCCCTGCTGCAGCTCCTGCACCCGGTCACTGTTCACTCTCCCTTCCAGCAGACAAACCTCTCACCTGACTCAGTTCCCCTGCTGCCGAGGGTCAGCCTGCTCCTGACCCTAGGGGTGGCACAAGGAGGACTCCACCACAGCTGCTGCAGGGACACAGCCCTGGCAAGGCCAACAGCTGCTCCCCTTCTCTGCCCATCTCACGGGATGACCTCCTGAATGTCTGGGAGAGAAGTTTGGGAGAGAAGAGGGGAAGGGCAACAGGGTTGTTCCGAGTTCCTGAAACACCTACCTATGTCTCCAATGAAAAGCACTCGGCAATGAGTCAAACAAGCGTTGATGTCACGCTGAAGAAAGGGACCGAACTGGCATAAAGCAACCCCACTCCCAGGTCAGCCTGCATGGCAGCAGGTCGGCCCACGTGCAGCATACGACTCGTGCTCTCCGTCCCCCCTGCCACCGTCACCAGGACCCTCTGGGAACGCAAGCCCGTCGCAGCAGGCACTGCCAGGCGCCCAGTGTGGGCAGCGTCCAGCCCAGGGATTCTGGCTGGCACCAGGAACAGCCCGAGAGAGATGACTGTACTCCCGCGTCTGGCTGACGAGTGGCTGCGGTGAGATGTTTGTAAACAGGCTGCTGCATCTCACTGGTCATTCTGAACTCACAGGTTCTTCAGCTGTTTACTCCTCTTGTTTGTTTGTTTTTCTCGGCAGTCTGAGCTGCTGGTTTTCCTTCCGCTAGGGTATCATTAAAAAGGTTAAAATTCTACTGTCCGGATCAATTGCAAATTCTCTTCCACAACGAGGGACCCAGAACAAGTTTTTTTGTTCAGCAGAAGTCACAGAAAAGCCTGGTAAGTTTGGCCTGAATGTTATGCAAAACTAACGTTCTCTGTCACCGAGAAGTCTTCTCACTTAAAGCAAGTGAAGACGTGTGAGTACACCCAACCCCTCCTACGCCAAGATCCTCATTTTCCTATTTCAGGGCAGAGAGACCATCAACTCTCTGACCCCTGCATAGCTAAATCCATATAGATACATGCTATTGCTAATTAGGTATTGGTATGAGGTATTGCTAATACCTACCGTATTTCCTATTTTCCCCATTTCAACTCTTAACTTGGGCAAACCACGTTTGTGGCTTGAATTCTGACCGAGCAAGCCGTTTGGTTCCGCGGTTAAACTGCAGAGGGCTAACAGGGTGGCACTGTGCCCCAGCGTCAGCCGCCTGCCGTAGCCGCGCACGTCCGACGGCACACGTCCGATGGCACAGGCGTTTCCAGTCAAGGTGCACGTCCGTGCTCCTCCCGGAGCACCTACTGCCCCTGTCTCAGCTTTACCTTCGGAGACAGGATTCCTGCAGCCCTCTCAGTGGGTACAGCTCCGTTAGGTCCCCTCTGACTACGGAATTTTTCCCCTAATTTTTGGCACCTTTTCCAAGTCGGAACGCTGCCCCTTCCCCTCTGTTTCAACCCGCCGCAGTGCCAGCTGCCCTCGCCTGGGTTAAGTAACCCATTCCGTTTCCACCACCTGCACTTTGTGCTTCCTGAGATACTCCAGGGGAGGGGGCGGCTCCCGCCCCCGAAGGCACCCCACCCGACGTCCAACAAGTTTCTTCACATCACCAGGTTCTATGTGCTATTTCTCGCCATGCTATCGAAACTGTTTCATACTGCTTTAACGTTCCCTTCAGATCTCTATCAAATTCCTCTGTAATTCAATGGAAAAATTATTTCTTCCATTAAGCTGAATTTTAATGGGCTGTTTTCGTCAGGCAGTACACCGACAGGAGCAGGGAAGATGAACCGGTATCACACCTCTCAAGCAAGCGTCTAGCCCTGCCAGACCCGCCGGGACTGATCCCTTCTCCATCAAGTAATGATTTCTTGAGTGAGACATGCTCTTATCTGGCCTGATGATCCGAACTCTTACCTGGGAGAGACGACACCTGGATTCCTGTCCTGCTCAAACTAATATTTATGCAAAGCACTAACTGTACTGCATTACAGATAACCCAGGAGTGATAACCATTGTGGCTTGAAACTAAGTTTTCCCTCTGGTTACTTGGAGGCTGGATCCCTATTACCAACTGTCAGTTCAACAGAACAATGAGAGGGAAGGATATCCTGGATAGTGACAGGTGCTCTGGGGCATCCTTCAGGGAATACTGCGAGGAGATTGAAAGGCAGCAGGTATGAGACATACAGAAGTGCCTCAGAAGGGTGGGGTAAAGGCCACGGTAACTGGGAGAGGCCAGGAGGCTGGGGAGGCAGATGGGTCTCAGAGTCAGTTCCTCGGACACCGTGCCACACAAACGCAGCTGCTCTGCTCCCCTCCCCAAACAGCTTGGTTTGCTGAGAATGGGTGATAGTCCCAGCACCGCAGGAGGCAGCTCCTTGGAGAGCCAGCCCAGTTTCCCAGCATCTTGTTCCCATAAAGCTGCTCATCAGCTTGAGCGCAGGCACAGCCCTAGGCTGGTTCCACCCAGCACATGGTAGTGTTTCCAGTGGCCAGTTAGAACTGCCTTGTTCTCTCTTCGGGCCACCAACTGGCCACCCAGGACACCAACTGGCCACCCACTACAGCATTAGAGCTGGTAACTCAGAGGTGTCCTCTCAGGCGGAGAGATGTTTCTTACTGTCTGGCAGCGCTCCTCAGGGACCACAGAGACTCCCATGAAAAATCAAGGCCTTTGTTATCTTTGCTTTTGGGAAAAAAAAATAAAGGGAAAAAAATTAAAACTTCCAAACATCTGTTTTGGAAAAAAACCCAAAAGACGTGTTTTAATTTGTTAATTTAGGTTGCTGGGTTTTTTTACTTGGCAGCAAAAAACACAAAGTGCTTCCCTCTGCTCCTTTTCTGCGATGTGCCTTGATTCTGACCATCACTCAGGGCGACTTTATTGCACCAATTCACACAGCTGTCTCGTCCAGTGCAAAATCGCTCCCAGTCCGAACAGCCACGGCTGGCCTCCCTCCTCTCGGACTGCCGCAGGAACGTATCCCTGCCTACCGAAGGGGTCTGATCCTTTTAGGATCTGACTCTAACTCAGATGACCCCGTACAAAGAATGACAGCGTGAAACTCCAGGCCCGTGTCTGCTGAACACAGGCAGGGCCGGGCCTGTGAGGTTGACGGTAACTCTCACGTGCCGAAGGCCGGGCAACGCATTTCAGCTACACAGCTCAAACCTATCGCCTGCTGCCACAGCTGACATCACTGTCCCTGTTTTTCACAGAATCTGCATTTTTTTCGTACACCTTACAAGAAAAACGCACTCCCCCATCCTTAAGGAAAGGTGCCCGGAACACGTCAAGCGTGTGTGCTAACTGCGGCCGGCGGCGCCGAGGACGGACTCGAACCCAAGCCCAAGGCCAGGAGGAATCGGTTCGGCTCCGTCTGTTGAGACGCAACGAAGGCGGCTATTTCTGACGAGGAACTAACTCCTTGAATCCGAAAGCTCCTCACGACAGGAGCCTTCACCCGGCCTGAGGAGGGGTTATAACCCGCCCGGCACTGTCAGCGAGGGGCATCGGGCTGTCCCCACGCCTGCTGCTCCCCACCGCGTGTCAGCGCTAAAGCCTCCGGCTGCCCGGGAGACGTCTGCTCCCCCAGTCGCGTCTGCAGCTCCGGAAAGGCCTTGGGGACCAGACGGATTTGTCAGGACGTGCGAAGCTGCCCCGAGAC